ATTTTCAAATGTGGCTTGATGCTAATTGTACTTATATTTATATTTTAAGAGGTTTTCTTGTAAGCATTATAGATAGTTTGTGTTTCTGGCGTAGAACCAAACTTTATTTAGCTATATTTAATGCTGTATATTGAGCAGTGGACGATGTTAAATCCATATATGAGATACATATCGGAGTAAAAATGCATTGCTGGTCGGCACCACCTAGCGTGCAGGCGTGAATTAGCAGAAGGTGATCAATTGTTTAGTGCTCGGTGTGAAAGCAACGTTCATCGGCGATTCGCTTCGCTTTTTCGCATCACGGTCAGTGTGAAACGGCCTTTAAGTGTCAATTTTTCGAAATTGAGATTTATGCATCATCTAAAAGCTGAATAAATAAGCTTTCCATTGATGTATGGTTTATTAGGATCGAACAATATTTGGCCGAGATACAACTATTTGAAAATCTGGAATCTGAGCGTGCAAACAAATCAAAATATTGAGAAAATCGCCTTTAAAGTTGTCCAAATGAAGTCCTTAGCAATGCATATTACTAATCAAAAATGACGTTTTTATATATTTATGGTAGGAAATTTACAAAATATCTTCATGGAACATGATCTTTACTTAATATTCTCATGATTTTTGGTATAAAAAAAAATCGATAATTTTGACCCATACAATGCATTTTTAATGCATTTTAACTTAAGACTGGTTTTGTGGTCTAGGGTCACATTTGTGAAATAAAAAAAATATATATTTTTTTATTCTGCAGCAGAAACAGGCTTCCATATATTTGAGAGTATTTTCCCAAACGGATAACTTACTGGTCTCCTGAACCCGAGCCACAAAGCCCATGAGCGGTAGCTGGGGGGTAATCTGGAGAATAGAAGGGGGCGGAGGGGCCATAGGGGCTACCCACCCCAACAACAGGGGTAATTCAGTTCAGAAAGAAAAAACAGAAAGGGAAGGAAACAAAAAAAATTGAGTGTGGGTAAAACATAAGGAATGAAAAGAGAGGAAGTTGACAAGAAAACAGTAGGAGATGGGAAGTTAAAGAAGAGAGAGAGCGCAATCAGATCAAGCCAGTAAGACGAGCCCACTGAATTAAATCACATACAAACAAGCTCCTCTTCTAGTTATTGTATTAATTTTCTACCATTATATGGACACTTGAGCATGTCTAGTGTGTCTACCTTGGTTTTGGTTGTAGTGTGGCCCTCCATTAAGCTGGTTTTGGATCATGTTTGGATTTGTGTTCCGAGGCATGTTGTTGGGCTGTCCAGTAACTGATGACGGCCGTCGATAGGGCAGGGAACCTCCCACTGAGGGCGTGGTGTGCCGTGTCATTGGCCGGTTCATACTGTAAAAGTGAGGACCATTGCCTGGGAGACAAAGAGAAAATTAATGAATAAAACTAATTCTGTTGCTTCTTCTTTGAATCGCAGTACGGGATACACAATAGGCAGACCACGATACATTCAACGATATATGGAATGAACTGAAAACACAAGCTCTGACCAAACCCTAGTGAGCCGCCTCACTCTCCGCTAATGCAGCTACCTTCCCAGGCAGCATCCTACCTGAAATGAACACTGATGTGGATCACACCACATAGACAGCAGGTCTGCAAAAGTAGCACTTATGATAAATACACAAGAGACACAACTAGTGCTAACAGTTAAGCCAACAACAGCATAGCAGTACTGTATATTTGAACACTCATCAACTTCCTACATTAGCTTGTGTCATTATCAATAGTACAGCGTTGCAAAAAGAATCACTCACACACAAGCCACTTTCAAATCAAGCAGCTTTCTGTTGATCAATGCAGCAAATTTGTGTAACTAACTTGAACCCAATGCAAAATCTGCCACTGACTTCAACAGTATATTGGTTACCAATATTCTTTATAATATCTTCTTTTGTGTTCAACAGAAGAAAGAACAACATGAGGGTGAGTAAATGACACAATTTTTATTTTTGGGTGAACTATTCCTTTAAAGATTTTAAGTAACTATTAAATGACAACAAACGTAATCTACATTTAAAATGTAAAAGTAGGGGAAATGAGCATCCACAAATTAATCTAAAAAACTCTAATATTGGCCAATACCATTAAATATGGTGCATCGCTATAAACATTTCTCTTGCTCGGCCATAGTATTGGATAAATTTTGACTCAGCTTGTCGGAGTGCATTATGGAATTACCTTCACTACATGTAATGCTGCCTAAACGATGCATCCTAGAAGACAACAAATACCTTGTCTTAAAAATGATGCCTTAAAATACTGTCTAGGTTAGGGATGGCTCGATACCACAATTTTGACTTCGGTACGATACTAGGATCTAATACCTCGGTATCGATACTAAATCGATACCATAGGTGACAAATAACCAGCCTCAAAATATAAGTTAATTGAAAACAATTTTATTAAACACACTGCTTGGAACGCTGCATGAAAAATTGTGCAAACAAAATGTAAAAAAAAACCTACATTGAACATAGGTCAAATTTTGATTTTGAAGTAAAAAAACTGAAGAGATCAAATTAAAATAGGATAATCTCTTCAGTCTTTATCACATGGTGCAAAGAAAATGTATCAGAATGTAACAAAAAAAAAACCTAGAGTAGAGTTTACAGGTTAAATGTTGATTTTGGGGGGGAAAAGATATCTTTTCAGTCTTTATTTTTTTGCTAGCTCCTTTGTTAGCTGCAGGTTTTTGGACAGGAAAACTAATGTGTCAACGCTGTCACTTGATAGTCTGTACCTTAGTGGGCTACAAATCAAGCCTGATGTACTGAAAACTCTCCCAGAGGCTGAGCTTGATGCTGGAATGCAAAGGTAATATTTGGCAAATGTTGAAAGAATGGGGAGGCTTGATTCATGCCTTTTCCACAAAGAAAGTGGGCTTTCTGTGGCACTGGTCTCTTCCATGGTCTTGTATGTGTGGAGTTCTTTTTTCAGTCTGTCAGCTGCTGGCATCTGTAGATATTCTCTCCCAGCTTGACATTCATCTCCCTTTTCCACCTCTTTTTTTTTTCTCTCAGATACAATTGTTGACAGGAGGCTACCCAAATCTTGTTTTTGTTTTTTGGCACCTGTTTGTTCTTCCTGCTCTGCCTGAGTTGAATCCATTTGTTGACTGAGGTGACTGAGATCAGCTGTGGCAGCCTTTTGCATAAGTACTTCAATCACTTCCTTCTCCTTAGTTACAAATGTGTTCTTAAATCTAGGATCAAAGAAGGTTGCTGAATTAAGAAGGATTTGTAACTGTTCATTGCTGTATCTCATCTCCAGATCTTTCCTGATCTCTGTTTTCATGCTGTGGGATAGCACGGAATCTGTTTCACTGTCCTGTACATGTGACAGTATCTTCCACATCACAGGGATGACAGAATAAAGCGTTGTCTCTTTTTCACCGCACAGGGCATCAGTGAAGGTACTTAGTGGGCCCAGGACCTCGCGCACTGTCTCCAGTGTGGTGATGTCTGTGTCAGAAGGCATTAGGCACCACTTATTCCTGTTTTCTGCTAAAGCAGCACAGACAGCTTGCTGCTGTTCACAGAAACGGTCCACCATGTCAAATGTAGAACCCCAGCGGGTAGGTTCATCGTGGACCAGCTTGTGCTCTGGGAGGTGAAGGAGCTGTTGCTTTTCTTTTAAAAGCCTTGACATTATGTTTGATCTAGAAAATGCACATACAGTCTTTCTAAGCCTGGACAGACATGATGCTACACGATCCAGGCTTGTAGCCTTGTTCACTGCCAGATGTAGGTTGTGACCGAAGCAAGGAACCCAATGATAAGACTTCTCCTTAAATGCTTTGATGTTTGAGGATGCATTATCTGTTGTGATTCCACTCAGACGTGTCATATCCAGTTTCCATGTTTGAATTACTGTTTCTTCAAGGACCTCTCTAATGTTCTCTCCTGTGTGATCTGAATGCATTGCTGCACATCCAAGACACCAGGACAGCATTTCCCAAGAGTCACTAATGAAGTGAATTGTAACAGCCATATACGAGTCCACTGTTCGACTCGTCCAAAGGTCTGTTGTACAAGCAAAGTAGGGCTGGCTGGACAGTTGTGATTCAAGCACAGACCTCGTTTCATTGTACAAAGTGGGAATCTCTCGCTCAGAAAAGTATTTTCTCCTTGGCATCTCATATCTTTTGTCAAGCTGTTCTACAAGGTTTCTGAAACCTGTTTTATTAACAACTGAAATGGGAATTTGGTCCATACAAATAAACTCTGCAACGGCCCTGTTAAGTCTTTTTGCTTCTTTGGAGCTTCTTTCATATTTTCTTGTCACCGACAGTACCTCTGAAATAGTAGGCTGGCTTGAAGATGTTTTTTTTGTTCCTTTCTGTGGGTGTCAAAAGAAGGAATAATTAAATTTACATGTAAAACATCAGCTGTTATGCATCCACATTAGCATTAATCTTGGTTATTTTTAGTGTTTGGGTTCATATTAGTTTTAATGCACAATGTTAATCTGATAAACATGTATTAGTGTATTTTTTAAAGAATTATTGATTGATCTAGAAACAAACGTTATAAAACTGATATATGTATATATATATATATATATATGCTTTATTGTAGTGTTATTCTAACGTGCACATTAGTAATATTTATACTTCTCTCTCTCTCTCTCTCTCTCTCTCTCACACACTCACTCACTCAGCTGCTTCCCTTTAGAGGTCGTCACAGCAGTAATATGCCCTTCATCACTATTACTAATACTAAAAATAATATTACTGATCTTTTTAAAATAAAAGTCTAAATTAAATCAGTTGAAAGAGACACTCACCTGTCGATCTTTTAACTCCTTGAACAAATCAGGATGAGCGAGTGACAAATGTTTGCTAAGATTTGATGTGTTGCCTCCCATGGCAGCACATGGTTTATAGCAGCGCTTGCAGACTGGTGAATTAAAGTCACATTGTCGTTTCTCCGTTGTCATGCTTGCCGGTTTCGCGTCAGTTTGGGTAACACTGCCACATAGTGGTGAACTTGAACTTGAACAGCAGCGAATGAAATACCGAATTGAGCAAAATGATGATATCGAACCGTTTGAAATATAATATATACCGGTATTTTTTCAGTACCGGTATACCGCACATCCCTAGTCTAGGTAGTCAGATCACTAGTTTTGGAACAGAGCTATAGAGAAAAATATGATCCTCAAACCAATCTGTCCATGTACATATGTTGGCCCGTGATAAATTCCTAACTTTGATTTGTTATGAAACATAAAAAGAAAAAGAAAAACCCCAAAATAGTCCCTAAGAAGCACAAACAGGAAGTAGAGATGGACCAAATGATGTGATGGAGACAAATGCCACTGGGAATGTAATCCAACCAAGAGCTGGAGCACGGATGCACAGCAAGCCAAGACAAACCAAGCCCATGCAGGTGAAGCCTGGGTGAGGTGCAGGAGGGATGAATCCTGGGTGATGTCAGGTAAATCACGTATGATCACGTGCAGGTTGTCACTCAAAGATGGACGAGTGTGGAGATGGATTTACGCTTCCACTCCCACTGTTCTCTCTGCTGCTACTGCGACTGCTGGGCTGACTGCCGCCGCTGCTGCCACTGCTAACACACACAAAACACATCATGCAAGTTAAGGTCAGTTGCCAATGGTCAAGAGCCGTGCCTATGACAGGAGTCAGCACGGCATGAACTTTTTACTTCCATAACGTCACGTATTTCCGAGTCAAACAGGATAAGGAACTAGGGGGGAAAAATGTAGGGTGGGGACTTCATTTTTGTCTTTCGAGAACTGATTAGATTCCCTAAAGCAGTTGTACCAGAATGGAGTCAGACTTAATATAAGGGCTAAATAACTGTTTGGTTTACATTATTCAATAGACCAGGTAGCCTAAGTGATGTCAACAGAAAAGAAATGTCATTTTAAAGGAAGAACTATTACATTTCGTTTAAAGAATGAATCATTCACAATAAAGTGAGCATTAACAAAGTAATTAGCTGTAAAACAGCCTCACATTCAGCCTTGCACAATTCATTCTGTTCTGTCCCTTACAAAAAAAAAATAATAATAATTTCATCAAAATTTCACTGACCAGGCCAATTAATTAATAAATTTTTTATTTTTTGTAGATTTTCAGCTTTTTTTAGATTATCAGCTGATAACTACAGATAAAATAATTAAATTGGCCTGGACGATATTTAGCTGGTATTTGGCCATATTCAGATTACCAATAGATGACTAAAGGTAATAAAGACAATACTCCCCAGTAGCCCCTCACTGCAGAACAAAGATCCAGGGGGTTCCTCGCCCCCTGGATCTTGTGTTCTGCAGTGAGGACCATCTCCAATACTTGGTCATTTTCAGACTAACTAGTGGTGGAATGATGAAATGGCCATGAAGAATATTTGACCATTTTCAGATCGGTTGATAATAATAGTGGCAGACTGATTCAAAAGACTGGCCAATATTCTGACAATATTTGGCTGTTGTCAGATTATCAGCTAATGTCAAGCAGAAGTATTTCCAGATTAGATCAGCCAACATTCATGTCCACTTGGCCAAATTACATAAGCATTTCATTCTTTTGTCAGTTTTAAATCTATCAACAGCCTTGTCAATGGATAATGCACATTCTGTATTTAAATATTTTAAGAGGATTTAATTTGAAAAATGTTGCTTGGTTAACCATGAGTCAAACTACAGAGTTTTCTAAATGTACAAATCACTCCACCTTGATGATCAATTTCAGTCCAATTCCTGATTAATGGAGTAAATAAATCGAAAACAGCTGAAAACTAATCTGCTGCTTAATATTTCTGTGGAAACCTTGATAGCATTCCTTGATGAACAGAAAGTTCAAAGGTTGAAACTGAAACCTTTGTAACATTTTGAATGTCTTTACAGTCACTTTTGATCAATTGAATGCATCCTTGTTGAATAAAAGTATTAATTTCTTTCAAAAAAAAAAAAATCAACTTTGAACAGTACTGTATTAATGTATAGAATCTACAAAGAAAGATCTCTTCATACACATCTCGCATGGTCATGAATTGAGGGATTGTGGGTGAGAATCTGAGAAGAGGAGGAAGCATTCTTTAAGAATGTAATTATGTGCTCTGTTTGTCCCCTGAGACTCTCAAAATCAGAGCACTGCGAATGCAAACAGCAAAGAGATGAAGAGATACCGGTAAGAAAGACTGAAATAGAAAAAGACAGTGAGTGAAAGAGCAGGAAAGAGCTCTTCTTTAAGTAGGCTATGGCTGTTTGAACCCAAAAAAAGATCCAAGCAAAAGAGATAGAAAGCAAAGGAGAAGAAAAGAGAAAGTTAGTGACTGTTACTTTGGCCGAAAGTCACACTGCGACAGACACCAAACAAAGACAGCTTAAAAACAGAACAACAGCGACAGGAAGGACAGACGGGAAAGGAAAAGAGGAAGCAGAAAAAGAGGGTGAGAAAGTGTGAGGGAACTTTTTTTCCTTTTCAAAGTTCATTTTTTAAGCCTGTCCAGGGGATAATGCTGCGTGTGTGGAGTAAGCGTGGGTGTGTGTGTGAGTACCTGTATGTGCGGGTCCTCTGATTAACGGATGCAGTTCTAGCCGGGCTCTGCAGGGGTGGTGCGGTGTTTCGTGTTGGACTCGGCACATAGTCGTTAGGGACGACGGGTGGACGCACAGGCTCGAGCGTCCGGTAAGGGGAGTGGCGCCTGCCGAGGGGGGCGGGGTTCAAATATTTTAATATCCACTAAGGGGTGGAGCCAAACATCATTGATGACAGACCCCAATAATTACATACTGGGAGATCTTGTGTCACATCTTGTAGACTAAAAATCAATTTAGAACATCACAACAGTACCGTAAAGCAAACTCTCATGAGTCATGTCTAATTTATAGTTATTTTTAGATTAGGGTGGGCGGTATGACCAAAATAGATCAAGGTATGAGTAATTTTATAACTGGATCAACAATATCAATATTTTAACAGAATGTATTGCTTATATTTTTTTATTTTTGCTTTAAATTAAAATAATAATAATAGGTTTAAATAATAAATAATCACCTTACAATGCCTTAAGATAATCTAGTGAATTAAATACTTAACAAATGAAAAACACTTCATTAGAAGTAGACCAAAAATTGGTTTGACCAATACTTTTTACACTTTTCTACTTTTCAGTTAGTGGTTCTCTAATAGAGTCTACCAATAAATGTCACACCACTATGCATTCAACAGGAAATAACAGTGTTAGTTCATTCTCAAGTGAGAAATATGTAGCATTTTATCTTAACAGTTAGACACAGAGAAAGAATGAAATCATTTTATTTAATGTAACATTATTTGTTATTAATTACATTTTCTAAATGCAATTTTCTATTGTTTAGTTAATAAACAAATGTATTATTATTATTAAGTTTTTGTTTTATATAAAATTGCTGTATACATTACAAATAAAAAGCAGAAATAAATAAGATACTTAAGATACTTAAACACAAAAATAATCTGTATTGTATTGGTCTTAAAAAGCAATACTGGTTAATCTTTATCTTCATCTAATATGAAATTCTATTTTTTATTTAGATGGATGCAAATCAAAAGATATGGTTATTCATAACAAATTTGATCAAAAGTCAGCTTTTGGTACACAAAATAAGAAATAGTAAATAAAATATAAAACAAATAGATTCTAAATTCTGGCGAGCGGAGTCAAATACACACTGTTGTTAAATAGCTGACATACATACACCTGTGTAAGCACACAGCAGTCTATAATAAATAATGCAGAAATGTAGCTCAGCAAATGTAAACAACCAACAACTGTACTTAACAAAAATCCTTTTCCTTATCTTAACCTGTTTGGGACACATCCCACTCTGCATTTTTACATTACTCTATGTTTCTTCATTGCTCTCATGGGTAAATAATGTAACTTAATGTAGAACACCCTACCAGCGATACATTATTACTGCTGCATAGTATATATTGTCATACCGCCCTTGCCTAGCATATGGGAAGCCAAGCACACCAAAAGTCGCATGAAACAGCCTGGCTCAATGGACCGAGCGGCGCGACCGACTCGACAGCGCAGGGAGGAAGTGTTTGCTAGCACCACCGAACGGACAGGACAGCGTTATCTAATCTCACCAGCGTGGTGCTGATCAATTAAGACAGCACAGCTCAAACATTACTCTATTCATACTGCTCCACAGAAGTTCATGTGCTTTTCCCTGCACATAACAAAATAATGATTATTATTAAGTTACTACATTTCATTTGCTTATTATCTTTCATATTACTACATACAGTAGTGTTAACTACTTTGAAGCTTGTGTATATATATATATATATATAGATAGATAGATGGATAGTAGCCACGGAAAGAGCTGTTCAGAACAGAAACTTTAATACTGTTGTCCTCTTAGAATTAAAAATGTTTTATGGTTTCATTCATCAAGGCATATTTTAGGTAAACTTTACATTTAAGGATATTTGCCTATTTAATAATAGAATTCAAATTTAAAATGGTACATAAATGTAATATTGAACCGTGCCTATGGCAGGACGGCGTGGCATGAACTCTTTAATACCGCGCTGTATCATCCCACTTTTGGGTTTTTTGGCTTCCCATACTAGCAGGAATCTGTCATGTGTCGGTATATAACTAAAGGAGCCTGTTGTGTTGTATTACAGAAGGTTGTCTGCATTGCTTGTGGTTGGCCGTTGTGTTGCAATGGTGACAGTGAGGAGTTGGGGCCGTGGACATAGGCATGAGCGGGAAGAACACAGTGGAGGTTTAACAGTAACACACATCAGCTGTAAAAACTCAATGACATAAAATAATAATAACACATCACAAACACAACATGACAGTCTTTTCTCCACAGTGACCTGCAGTGGCAGAAAAAAGCACAAAGACTGAAACACACAGATCCAGAACGCTTCAGTGTGTCAGTCCCTAAACAGAGAACAAGCCAAAACTGTTAACTACAATACACACATTCACAGATGTGTGCGAGCACTGCTGTCAGGAATAGAGATTAGATAAGAGATGGAGAGAAGTGACATAGAGAATTTCCTTTTCCACCACCAAATCAACACGTGCACAATAGTATCTTACAATTCAAAGGGGTCATTTCATGCATTTTTAGCGTATTATTTCACTCCTAGATGTCCATTTATAACGCAAGTTAAGCTTTTTGCACTGAAATATGATACAAAAACAATACAGATCAGGCTGAAATGTTCTGAGACCTGAAGGCTGAAATGCACTCAGTCATTTTTATTACTTTCATTTTATAAATATCATCAAGATAAAAGTAAAAAAAAAAAAAAAAAGCCTTTGCAAATGTACTTACCCCAGTGTTCCTTTGCCCGGGCCGGGAGGGCTGGGTGGTTTCTGGGTCGGGGCAGCTGTGCGTGGAGTTGTACCCGCTTTCATATTCTGGGCATTGACCTGTGGGGCAAGTGTCAAAAATCATTATTCTGAGTCAGAACAGATGTAAAGACACGGACATTCCACCACATACACAAAACACACATCAACCAAAGACCAACTGAGTCCTTACCTTAAACCTTAGTAACCACTACACTCAAAAATGAAGGCAATAAGAGAGGTGAGGAGAGAAAAGATGCAAACAGTTAGTGTGAAGAGTAAAGAGAAACTCACACACATGCAAACACAAACAGAGCAGCTAGTTAGGCAGCGCAGTCCATATGATCTAAAGCAAAATACATTCATATTAACTGGTGATGCACAGTATACTGGTATTTGGCAATATTATTATTATTAAAAGGTGCACAATAATTTTTTGTTTATGATTTGCAGGCTGATATAGCAGCTGAGTAGCGGTGTGAAAGTAGAATTGCGCAAAAGCTATTCACAGTCAGCCATGATTAATTTATTTAACAAGGCAAAATGTCCTATAACAGAGGAGAGACAGAAATAAAGGGAGTAGTATTCAGCTGGTCATGTGATCTTAACATGGCCCTTTATGTAAAGGAAAATCTCATATGAATTTACTTTATTTCACATTTTACAAACATATTCTTTAAAACCAACAATAATACTTGCTTTACATAAAATACACAAAGCTACTATTTTCTGGCAAATTTTCACAGTTGAAATTGAGTCATATTCAATATTTCAGCATCAGGTTCAAGTTGGTCACACGTATAGACTGGCTTCATCCCTACCTTTACGCCATGGCCTAAGTCATCCAGCAGACTGTAGTCAACGGGCTTGCGGATGTAGCGTACAGGCCTCTCAGGATTGGCTGGTGCGATGATCTTGTGTGTGCGGGAAGTGTTCTTATTGGTGGTGAGGATGCCAATCTCTCGCCTGGCCACCTTCTCTTTATGGATGTCCACCGTCTGTGGAGGAATGTTGTCATGTGAATTGATGTATGCAGAGATGTACATGGAAACACATCAAAAGTCAGTTGACAATAAAATACTGTCAACTGTAAATTAGATAATTAATCTAATTTGATTAATATAAAAGTACTGCAACGCGCCAAAGTTTAATACTTAGGGTTATTGATTTGAATAAATCTTTTACTTTAAGTAGTAATATTTTAATAGTGATGCTTGCTTTAGAAAATTAACTGAATGTAGAAGCAAAATAATTTGGAAACAAAACTGCAATGTACAACCCTGCTCATCTCAACAAGTATAACTAGCAGATGTTTGTATAGCAGTAAAAAGCACCTGTGAGATGTGGTTGATGGACGACTCCATGCGGCGTAGCTGAGACGCCTGTATATCCAGCATCTGGAGCACATTGTTGGCGAGAGTGTTGATCAGATACGCTACACTGGCCAAAGACTGAGTGGTGTAGCTTTTGGTTTCTTCTAGAGCTCTGTGCTTATCTGGAGACTAGATGGAAAGAAAAGGAAGAGGAAAGAGAGAGTGTTAATCTCAGCACAGAAGGATGAATAGAGGTGAAAGAGAACATGATATTGACTCGTGGACTAATTTCTGTTCCCTCGTTTACACTCCCCTTTAGGAGTGTGCAGTATGTTTCATCTACTATAATAATTGTTGTAACGGTGTGCGAGCTGACATTATTGAGTATGTCTTGAGAGTGCATGCTTTCATTTTGTTATGTAGCCTATTAGAACGCACCCAAAATTCAAGATATGGAGGGAAAAAATGCCCTGTATGAGATTGTTTTTATTTATATCTTGTGATATAGTTGAGCAATTTCACATGCAAGAGTGCTGTTTTCATAGATTGCAAATGTGACTGATTTTATAACAGCTGAATAATCAAGTTAATATTAGGTGATATACATTTTTTACACAATATTGTCAGTCATCAATGAAAATAGTTTCAAACAAAGCCACAGAAGAACCGTTGCATGTCTCTGAATGAATCTGTGTTTTTGAATGAATCGAGTGAGTCGATGCTTCAATGACCAATTCATAAATGCAGTCACTTGATTTTGCTCCTGAATGAATGAATCAGTCATTTGAACAAATCTGTTAATAAATGACTCAATGACTCGCTTAAGACAGTGACTTGCCATCACTTACATCTGGATTTAGGTTCATATTAAAATAACTATTTCTTAAAAAAAAAAAAATCAATATTCACTGAAAAAACAGCCAAGGCACCAACACAAAAATACACTCTTATTTAAATATTTTTAAAAATCCCAGTTTGAGATAACATTTTTTTGTCAATATTACACAACTATTCTCCCGTTCATGATTAATTTCCCATATATGAATGAGCAAAACAGACACTGCGGCAACCAATCAGAGCAAAGCACTGGAACAGGGAAAAAAACCTCAAGTCACTGCCTCATTGGCTGCCTACAACCATCATTCATTCTCTTCCGGCGTATCCATGGTGATGCTGTCAATATATGGGAAGGTCCAGTGATGAACGGTATGGTGAGTGAGGATAGTGAGGGAGGAGGGTAGTGTGTAGAACTGAAAGTGTGAGAGAAACACGCCTGATATAGCATTCAAAACAAATTAAAAGCCAAAGCTAATTCATATCAAATCCAACTAAAATAGTAATTCTCCAAAATATCAGCTGACTGAGTCTTACTCCTGTGCCTGAGCTAACCATTAGTCATTAGTTCACCCATAGGTCACCCCTTGTCACTCCAATGCGTATTATTTTGTTTCTTCCATGAAATACAAAAGGAAACGTTAAGCAGAATGTCTGAGCTGCTATTTTCCATTTAACAACAATGGATGGTGATTTATTCTGCCAGTGCCAAGCTTAAAAAAAAACATCATAAATGTATGTATTTGTGCTAGTTTTGGGCGATATGCCCCAGTCATTTCGTCCTATCGTCAGCCTTTGAGATCGCTGATACACGATATTATCATGCTAATTTATTTATTTACTTACCGAATTTCATAGCCAGAGAGTGAACCAACTCCAGGGTAAGGCTACAAATAGCCTAATGTTAGTGTAATCTATTAACTACACATTATATCTTTTTAGTCAAGTAGCATATGGATGTCATCATAAAATATTTTTCATATGACTGAATTTGTTTTTAAAATGATGACAATTTGATAAAAACCATTGTAAGTTACTAATAATAATGCTTACATTTCCTCAGTTATTCAAAAAGCAGCTACAGAAAACGAGCAAAGAATATTTACATTATCAAAGAACATCATCACTGACTTCAGTCTAGCGCGAGTTTATGCACTTTAAAAAAACACTCCCGATATAATCAATGAAGCTATCTACACTGTATGATGAATAAATCTCTTATACTTACATCGCACGTACATCTGCACTTCGTTGTTTATGATGAGACAATTGACCATATGCACGGAGTGTTCTTTAGAACTTCCGCATTAAGATAAGCCAGCTCGTAAACTTCCGGTAAAGCGTCATTTGATGTTGTGGTATATATAGGTAGAGACTCTTGAGACCCTCACAGAGACCTCTCCTGCCTCGTTCTTGTCAGAAACTGAGAAACAAAATAATTGCAACACTGTAAATAATGATAGCGGCATTGACATGTTATTTAACATTTAACAACATATAATTTTATATGCCGAGCCTGGTAATCCCAGGAGAGTACCTACACATAATTGTACATCTAAATGCTGACAACTAAACACTATCGTAACTGTTTAGGCTAACGTTAGCTAGCTAGCGATGCTATCTCGTACACAACATCATAATTGTATTCTTGATAATCAATAACTGACCTTCATAGACATGAACACATTTATAAAACACTTTTAATATTTTATAGCCTTAATCATTTCTCAACTCTACAGCTGTGCAATAAAATTCACATTAAAGATTCCCTTTTCATTCATAAAGATGGCATGAAAAAATGTGCCAAAAATGTCTCCTGCCAGAAAAAAAACTGAAACTGACATGAAATTACCATTTAACCAGTAGATGACAGCAGAGGATCACTCATTAGCAGTTGTCATTTCAACTCCCCAGTTTTTTTCACATCTTTATTTGGGTTTAATATGAAATGACTATTATAACAAATGTTAGTACTTTTACTGTACTGAAGTATAAAGTATAGCAAGTGCAGGAAGTCACTAAGTCTCACGTAATTTAAAAAATAAATAAATAATCCCAGACACCAACGGCCTAGAAGGGTAAATTATTTAAATACTTTACTAGTTAACTACAAATTAAATAAGTTAATTATTAAAACTAGTTAGCTGCAAACTAAATTAATTAATTAATAAAACTAGTTAACTACAAATTAAACAAGTTAATTATTAAAACTAGTTAGCTGCAAATTAAATTAATTAATTAATAAAACTAGTTAACTACAAATTAAACAAGTTAATTATTAATGGTATAACAATTAAATAATAATGCATCAAATATTTTGAAATATTTAAAGATTTAGCCTAATTTAAAAACTACATTTTTAAGTTTTATACAACCTGCTCTAACTCAGGGGTGTCAAACTCAATTCCTGGAGGGCCGGAGCCCTGCAAAGTTTAGATTCAACCCTAATTAAACACACCTGGTCTAACTAATCAAGTCCTTCAGGCTTATTTGAGAACTACATGGTATGTGTGTTGGAGCAAGGTTGGACCAAAACTCTGCAGTGCTCCGGCCCTCCAGGAATTGAGTTTGACACACCTGGTCTAACTAATCAAGTCCTTCAGGCTTATTTGAGAACTACATGGTATGTGTGTTGGAGCAAGGTTGGACCAAACCTCTGCAGTGCTCCGGCCCTCCAGGAATTGAGTTTGACACCCCTGTCTTAGACAAACAAAACTTTTCTTCAAATTGTGAATGGATTATGTAGAGAAACCGAGCAAAGGACACTCCCCTTATGGCACAGTTGATTTTGATAGTTGACCGGAAATTACTGAGCTCAGTTATCTAAAACCAGGAAGTAACCGTGCATATAGGGCAAATTTCAGTCAATTCACGAAAGAGTAGAATTCAGCGAGCATGCGCACTGAACAACAAAACTCCGGTGTATCAGCAATGACTCATCTGAATGCTTCTGATTGGCCAATGCATTCAGAAACTCAACGGAATCGTGTGTGATTGGTTATAACTAGGGCTGCACGATAAATCGCATGCGATATTTAACGCGCATCTTGTCAGAAAGCCGGTTCTGTAATCAGGATGGTGATTTACCGCGGATTACAGAACCGGCTTTACTTATAAGATGCGCGTTAAATATCGCATGCGATTTATCGTGCAGCCCTAGTTATAACGCACAACACCCTAAAACCGCAGGAAAATAAATATGATGGAACAAATAAGCCCTAATAGTAATTAGATAATAATTCTAGCCTGATAATAATTATTATTATTGTCTTTATATCATCAATGGCAACAGGCAATATCTTTAACTATTGTCGATACACGATACTATCGTCTACCGGCACAACCCTAGTTTGTGCACTATATTTCAGGTCTTCAACAGCCATATGAAAGCTTTATGTACGGAATGGCCTCAAAACTTTCATCTTCTCCATTTTTAATATATGGACATTTAGCCATTTTGAGTTCCACTGAAGAAGAGTGGGAGTCAGCTTGAGATAAAAACCTTCTTTTGTCATTAACGCTTTGAGGAAAACATCAGACCCCATTTCATTCAATAAAACACTAGAGGTCCAAAACGCACTAATGTTTCTAATCAAATGCAACTTTTCTATATATGACCATGACACGTGCAAAATAATGCAACAATTATCTATTAATATGGCCTTCCCAAAACAAAAAACAAATGAGATCACTGGGTGTATTTGTGAAAAAAACATCCCGACAAGAATGAGAACCTGTCTGAATTCACTAACATATCTGTATGCAATATGCATGAATTGAGGAAGTGGGAAATATTGGGTTACATACTAAACTAAAACCAGACCACAGACCACATGCAAGCAAGACTCATATCAACCCGAGCTAAATGCTGCCATGGAAAGAAATACAAGCTCGGTCACAAGAAGCTATTTATGGTATTTCTGGACCTACTGTGGCAAAGCTATGAGAAAAATACAATGTTCACAATTCGCTCACAACTAACAGACTTTCTTTACAGATGACGTAACAAAATGCATTCATATAGCATCACTGTGTGCTCTGCACGATTCCTGAGCCTGAATCAGGTACAATATGAACTGAGACCCCCCCCGAGTCAAATCACAAAGCAAAACCTGTTTAGCATCTCTACAACTATGAGCTCTCACTCTTAAACTCTAACCCTTCAGCTTTAACAGGCCGGCAAACGCTAGTCAAGTATGCAATATTTATCAGGAACACATCACGACTCAAAAGTACTGGAATCAGCATCCACAGAGAACAAACTCATTTTCCAGTGACATCCAGTCACTGATCTGCCGGGGTCCATGTGACACGCTCTGTATTTTTGGAGCAATGAATGTCAAAAGTTTTATTTCTGATGCTCTATTTCTGAGGAATGACAAACACTAAACAGAGAAGTGCAGATCCTCACACACCCACTTCTGTGGATCCCCCAGGAATGCTGAAAAAAACACGAATTTAGTCATTCATTTTATCGTTCCAGAAGCACTTCACAGATTCCAGAGTGAATCATCAAACTCATGCTAGCAGGAAAAACTGCATTTACCATAGTTCTAGCATAGTAGCTCTAATTTAACTATGGTAATTGTGTAATATCATAGTAAGCAAGCACTACATTACCATGATTAAACAAACATAACTAACAAACAAACAAACGGTATTTGTTGGCAAAAAGCAGATTTTTAAAAACTACCATATTTGTCATGAAAAGATACCACAGTTAATCATGTATACTATAGTAAAATTTCGCGATTACGAAAATGCAAACGATTAGACGCGATAGTATCAAAATACACAGAAAACTATTAGCCTACTTTACACATTCGCTCTCAACAATAAACTAACAAACACCCTAATGATAGCAAACCTGTAAAAACACTAACATTAATAGATAATTACACTAAAAAGCAAATTTATCAAATAAAAACAGTCCATAAGCCCCCAGCATTTAGCAGCAGAGCTAACTTCAAAAACACTGCGCTGCTTTGATTAAAAGATCTTCACAAACGCGATTACACATTAACACCACTTTAAATCATATCACGCTGTTTTAATTAGGCATATAAAACTAATAAATTCATACTAAATTTAAAAAGAGGGAAAGTAAACGGTCTTTTGATGTGATACAATTGAGATTTACTCATTGGTTTCGCTTCGGCTAGCACGTTAGCTTACTAGCTCAGCGTTTGAGGCCCCATTTCTGTACAAAACCACTGAAAAAAGGCAACAAAACGCATATAAAGTGTATTAAGGGTTGAATTAGTGTAATATAAACCAGTATGAATTACAAGTAATAATAATACGCGATGAATTCAGTCCGCACGACTGCATTGTCACTCGACAACACAAGCAGACGGATCATTTATCTCTCGTGTCATTTCTCATCCTGTATCTGGCCTTGTCTAGGATGTCTTCAATGTTTTGTAATGTCACCTGTATGTAGTTGCTCTCGCAGTACTCGGCGACTCTCTCTAGGTTGGCGTAGCTGTCCAGCAGAGCTCCTCGACCAGCAGGAATCTCCTCTTCCAACAGCATCTGCAGCTCCGCCATCTTCACATCTTACTGATGCATGCAGGAGGAAAACACCACCATCACACTCCCCTCTTACCTCACTGATGCACGCAGGAGGAAAACACCATCACATTACCCCCCTCCCTCTCTTTCACATTCACAATTCTCGTTCCTCCTACCCTATATGTTCCTTTCTATTCGTCACTCTTTCTGTCCCCTTTCTGTCTTTTTGCTGTATCCCAAAAATGCTCTATACAACAGAATGGTTTCATTATTTGGCCAAGACAGATAGATAGATAGATATTTTTATCACATTTTATTAGTATAGAAAGATTGCAGTTAAAAGATTGCGATTCAACGTTGATCATCGTTTATGGAATGTCTGTGACATTCAGAGGGAATGACCGTCTAAAAAAACAGTGGCATATAGTTTTAACAACCTGGACCATTTCTAAATGACATTGCTTTGATCTTATCAACTGCTGTCCCACACAATATAGAGCGCATAATATTGGCCATGCATAATTCACATTTCCCAAGAGGCTATTTCAGGGACGTGAGCTATGAGTCCTTCAGTTCCTCTTGCTGACTGTGATCCAGGTGTCATCTTTGGGTGTGGTCACCAGCTCATACCTGGCCTCAACCACCTGCCCTTCCACTCTGTGCAGTCTCAACCTGCGCACCAGTGTGCTGAGCAGCACTGCGGCCACAGTGTATGCAAATCTAAAGAGAGGAAGAAAAGGATGGGGCGAGAAGATTTGTGAACTATGTGACATCTGAATGTTTCTTAAAGGAACAGTTTACCCAATAATGAAAAATCTGGTCATCATTTACTCATGTAGAATTAGAATTACTCATGACGATTAAAACCCATTTTTTTCTTTGACAAAACAATAATAATAAAAATATATATATTCCTATATGTTTATAGCATTGGTTCTCAACCAGGGGCCAGAGTCCACTTGGGGGGCTCAGCACACTTCAAAATGATTTAGAATGATTTAAATTAAGGCAAACACAAGCTTTAAAATAAGCAAAAACAGAGATAAGAAATCAAGCTAATATTTCTTATTTTAATTAATTCCCTCAACAACCTTGTTTTGAATGAACCAGGGTTTCCATTAATCTTGGGAGACCTGGATATATAGGGAATTTTAAAAGTGTGATTTTTAGACCTGTAAAAGTCATGAAAATTAAAAAAAAAAAAATTAATTAATTAATGTATTGAACTTTCCATACTGATTATACATTTTTCTAGTTATGTCAAGATTGATTAAAAAAACTGGAATTTGTGAGTAAAAAAAAACTTATCTCGTAATCACAAATGACTGAACAAGTAATGTACATTAATTGCTCATTAAGAGTGTGATCCTTGAATAACATTCAGTTCTTGACACAGAACAGCATACGCTGTTTACGTCCAGTGGATATTCTCCAAAATGGCACCAGGGTGATGCGGAGGAGACAAATTGTTGAATAAAGTTTTTTTTTTCTTTCTTTTGTGCACAAAAATTATCGTAGCTTCGTATAATTACGGATGAACCACCATTGTGTTCCGAAGATGAACGAAGGTCTTACGGGTTTGAAACGACATGAGGGTGAGTAATTAATGACATAATTTTAATTTTTGGGTGAACTAACCCATAACATATACAGTCTTTAATATTGTCGTGGACAATGAGGGTCTTGGAATTAAAAAGGTTGAGGATCACCAGTCAATAGGACTCGTACAGACTACTTTTATGGGGCTTTTTGTCATTTTTGTAGTCTGACTGACCGCATTCCCATTCACTTTTGCTGTATGAAGTAGAGCAGCCTGAACATTCTTCTAAACGTCTCCTTTTGTGTTCAACAGAAAAACGAAATTCATACAGGTTTGGAAGGACACAAGGGTGAGTAAATGATAAACTTTACATTTTTTGGTGATCTTTGTTATGGTTATTTATTTAAGATAATATCTGTATTTCTCTCCTTGTACCTTAGTTCAGGGCAGGCCTGGCTCCCTGAAAACCCAAGCAGCGAGAAGCTCTTCATTACTGACTCATCAGCAAATCTGTCAGGATTAAACCTGTCAAAGCAGACAAACCAGTGAGAATTCCAGCAAACCATGAACCTTACACGACCTTGTATAAAATGAACACACACAAACACACCTGTATGGAAGTGACCAAGTATCTGCATCTTGAAGGACCACACCCAGGGCATAGATAACCAATGTCTACAAACATACAACCAGAGTTATTTTTAACATTATAGGTCACAGCACTCTCTATATTGACTAGACTAGATATAATGAATGAAACCTGCAGAGCGTTTTTAAGTTTGTGTGTGGGCCTAGTAATGAAAAAGGCAGGTTCTTACTTCTTTGGGAATGACGTGTTGGTCCACCTTCCCCTCCACCTCCTGCAGTCTGGCAGCCATGGGCGTCAGTTTGGCTGTGCGGACCGTTTCATTCAGCACCTGCTGGCAGTATCTGGGGGAAAACGTGAACAAGAATGATGATTTCCAGACAAAGTGATGGCCATGTGGAATAAAGTTTAACTCACAAGGTATTTTATGGAAATCACAGAATTAACACACATATGCCACCTGGTGGCCAGAATGTAGAAAGAAAAGAAAAAGCACTACACATGTAAACCCAGGAGAATATTGGAAACCCTTAAGCATATACATACTGTAAACCCATCTCTCTTGACCAAAACAGCTCTTTAAAAAAAAAAAAAAGTTAGACGAAAAGTATTAATTTCGTCATGTGTAAACCTTTTTTCACATTTGGGTCACTTGATTTAGCATCAGCTAAATCAATAAATGTAAATACCATATGGATAATACTAACAGAATAATATCACAAGCTATGACTGGGGCTCACCTAAGTTGTGGAATCTTCTCCAAGGTAACAGGTTCCTCTCCGAGCACTTCAACAAGCTCATGATAGAGACGTTCCTGCACTGCCTCCGAGACTGATAGGAAGTGAACTGCCCAGATGCACACTGGGAAATAATACAGATGAGAACAGGCATAAATTATGTATAAGAATAACAAAAATACAGACATGAAGGTAAAAAAAGAAAAGAAAAGCTACACAGTGTTATTATCTTTAACTAAAACTATTAAAAACATTTTTGTTAATTGAATTATTAGATGAAAAAAGTAAAATAAACTAAATTTAGAAAAGTTTAAGTTGAAGCACTAACATTACTAACTGGAAAAAAATCTAACTAAAACTGGAATAAAAATAAATTAAAGCTAAATATTAATAAAGAAAAAGTAATAAAAAATACCATAAAAATACAAAATATTAATCTAAAATTAAATTGAAAACGTAAAATATAAAAACAAAAGCTAATGTTAATAACAAACTATAATACTATACAATACACAGTGGTTCCCAACCCTGGTCCTGGAGGCACCCCAACACTGCACATTTTGTATGTCTCCTTAATCAATCACACCTGATTCAGGTCATCAGCTCATTAGTAGAGACTCCAAGACCTGAAACTGGTGCGTCAGAGAAAGGAGACATGCAAAATGTGCAGTTTTGGGGTGCCTCCAGGACCAGGGTTGGGAACCACTGCAATACTAAAATAACACTGAAGCTATGCCAGCTAGAAAGAAGAAATTGAAACTCACAGTTAGCAGTGATCACACAGCCAGCTAGAGTAAAAACCATACCATCTTCCATCATCTGAGGAACAGCAAAACATATTTAATAACTGTTTGTTTATAATTTATGCATAAATATATAAATAGTAGTATCTCAATTTGAAAATGAATCGTTCAGTGTTGAGATGATGCTACCTGTCGCTCTGTCAGATTGGCCTGTAGTAAATAGTTAACAAAAGACGACTGACTGGATCCTTGTCCACTCCTCTGCTTTGCCACAGACTTCAGCACTGACTCCATCTCAGCCAGAGCTGAAAATAACAAAACCACATGATCTATTGACATTGAACAATCAAAAATAAGGTCAACACTTTCAAATGTTGCTCAGCTGCCTTCTTACCACTCTCATAATGGGCCTTTCTGCTGGAACTCTTCTCTAGGGATCCATCCAGATAACCTTTACCGATCTCTGACCAGATCTATTCAAATCCAGCAATATTTGCATTTACATGTAAAATATCACATTTTATAATAATAATAATTTTCATAAGCATGACACTAAATATAACTAGTGAGGAATGCTCACCGCTTCATGGTTCTTACGGAACCGAATGATCTCAGCATCATCCCCAAAGCGACTCCCCATGGCAAGTTGAGTGACAGCCTTCATAGCCAATCCAAGCAGATGAGCACAAAGAGGCGTGTGCTGTGATTTAGGATAAGATGCCCACTTATCAACCAGCTCCTCCACCAGCTAAAACAAAGGCAGAGTTGTAAGAGAGGGATAACATGTTTAAAAATAGGGACTGTTCATTATATTCAGTTTTGTTTATTATACGAACAAAAACAAATCACCTAAGGTTTAATATCAAAAAGAATTCAAGAACTTTACTTTAAGGCAGATATCACTGGGTCAGTTAGATTTATGCAATGAAGAGAAGAACTTTGTTGTTGGTCCTAATAGTGAAATCCTGATATATATGATCAAAAGTGACAGTAATGACATGTATAATGTTACAAAAAGGTTTCTGTTTCCAGAAAAATATTAAGCAGCACAACTTTTTTCAACATTGAAATATTAAGAAATGTTCTTGAGCACCAAATCAACATTAGAATGATTTCTAAAGGATTATGTGACAGAGACCGGAGTAATGATGCTGAAAATTCAGCTTTGCCTTCACAGGAATAAATTACTTTTTAAAATATATTAAAACAGATGTTTTAAATTGAAATAATATTCCACAGTATTATTCCTTTTACTGTATTAGTGAGCAAATAAATGCAGCCTGGGTGAGAAAAGAGACTTCTTTCAAAGACATTAAAAAAATCTTACTGACCCCGCACTTTTTGAAAGGTAGCTTATGAGGAATCAAATGAATAACATATAAATCCTATGTAATTTTATGATAAAATATTAACATTTAATTTATTTAAAGGAAGTTTTTCCAAACGTTTTCTCTCCCTCGCTGCAGGCTACTCACTGGTCCAGTTGGGGTTGATGTGTTGTCGTAGTTGGTCCACAGCACCCAGGCTGACCACTGGTCTCCCACCGAACCAGAAAGATGCCACAGACCCAAACTCATCATGAAGACCCACCAGGAACTCATGCAGGCTTCCTTTGTTCACTATATCTTGCAGATTCCCATCTCTGGAAAAGTATTAAAGAAAGATACTTGTTGGAGAAACTGACTAAAGATCAAAAGGAAATATTGAGAGAGGACAGTATCTCAAATTCTTACTTCTCTTCTGTGGGGTTTAGTCCAGGCACACCAGAGGCACTTCTAGATGACTGACATTAAAATAAGAAAACCTCGGGTTAATATACACATACTTGAAATATGAAAGTCCCTTGATAGCAAATTATAGCAGATTTAATGGCTGACTTTCTTTTACATATATCCAGCTTTTTATCGAGACAGAAAATGCATATTCTCTCAAAAATAAGTAACTGTAAACTCAATAGTCCAGTGATGATCTTCTAAATGCAGCAGGTGATAATTTAAACCGAACATATTTAATAGCGATTCAAACATATATTTCATATAAAACATAATCACAACAACAACAAAACAGGATCAGATAATATTTATATTTTTCACCGGATACAAATACAGCACGGCACCGATCAGGACAATGACAAATGTCACTGCAAATATAGCAAAATCCAGCATATTTGCTTTTCAGAAATGTCTAATGACCGTCAGAAATGTAATCAAACTGTTCACTGGACTTGTAGCTAACAATCCACGTCTACAGTGGCCATCAGAAACCTGCGCCTCTGTAGGTCGGTACTCAACTACACATCCTGTGAACAAGGCTACACCAATCAATCGCGGAACGTTGTTGTTTAGGGATATTTATTTGAAGTCTATCTAGTACAGCCTGGATTTTATTTTAACCAACACACCTTCCATTATTATTATTTAGTACTCACATGTGCCTAAACAGGTTAATATAAATCAGTAGTGTCCCTCCTATATTAATGTGTTTTTGTAATATGAGTTGTTTATTTTAATTATAAATAGTCGTTTTTCTAAAATTGTAAATGTGTGACTAAGCTGTAGTATTAACTCGTTTTTTATCATATTATGAGTTTGTTTATAATTAAGGGGGCGGAGCTAATGATAATTAGGCTCGTAATTAACTCTTTAAATGTGACACACAGGAAAAAGTACGTAACGTTAGTTAGCGAAAGTAACGTTAAGCCGCAAAATGTTGGCAATCGCAGCATTAATTGCGTTTACGCTTAGTGTATATTTGAGCAATGCTCAGGATCCGCAGTTTCCCTGGCAGATGCCGCAGTATCAGGCCGGTGGTTTATCATTCTCACCGGTTCTGAAGGAATTTCCCCAGCAGGAGATGTTTCAGCAGCTCCAGCAGGGCTTTTCACCGGAGCTGAGTCAGATGAGCTCGTCTTTCTCCGGCTCTCAGCGCTGTGTGGTGGAGCAGTATGAGCGCATTGAGTGTGGAGAGCCTGACATCACTCTGGCTGAATGTGAGGATATCAGCTGCTGTTATGATGCGCAGGGCTGTTACTATGCCAGGGCAGGTGAGCGTGAAAATGAATGATTATACCTTTTATTTATTTATTTATATATATATATACTTTATAGGATATCACGGTGCAACTATAATTGGCATTACCATAGTACTTTTATTATGTTTTTAAACATTAATCATCATTTTACTTTAGTAATAGTAACAGAGTAAACCTAACTGGCGTACAGTAGGTTTAAAAACCGCAATAATTGTGAAATAGTATTACAATATAAAATCAAAGCTTGCTAATTTTTTTTTTTTTTTTTTTAGCGGCTACTTCGTCAGTCTTCAGTGTCACGTGATCCTTTAGAAATCATTATAATATGCTGATTTGGTGCTCAAGTAACATTTCTTCTTCTTATTATTATTATTATCAATGTTGAAAACCGTTTTTGGTGCTTATTATTCTGTGAAAACTGTGATACACTACCATTCAAATGTTTGGAGTAAGTACATTTATTAAAAAAAGAGAGAGAAATAAATAAAGGAATGTATTGCAATTTCACAATATTACTGTTTTATAGTAAATAAATGCAGTCCTTGTGAGCATAAGCTATTTCTTTCAAATACAGTAAAGAATCATAATTAACTATTATACAAACTACTAGTGGGAATAAAAATTCATAGCAGTGTTTGACTATTTTTTCATAAATTTTATTTTATAGAAACCATCTACATTGATTTAATCATGGTTATGAGTTGTGATCCATGGATTTTCTGGTGATTACTATAGGTTTACTCCAAATACCACAATACAACTATGGTTACTATGCATTAAACATAAAATATTATTTAAGCGCTGGAACTGTATAATACCTCCAATTGTGCAAAACATTACATTAAAGTAATTTTTTCCTGTTTGTTCCAGTTACTCTGCAGTGCACGAGAGATGGGCAGATTGTATTGGTGGTTGCTCGAGATGCTACCATGCCACGCATCAGTTTAGATTCCATCCACATGCTGGAGAATGACCCCAGTGGCCACTGCGCTTCTGTCGGCAGCACTGCCAGCTTTGCCATCTATCAGTTTACTGTTAGCTCCTGTGGCACCAGAATGAAGGTGGGTATGAGCATGGCCTTTGAGCATGTTATTAATCATGGGGGAGAAAGAGCATGACATTGTTGCATCACTGTTTTAGTTTACCCTATGGTCACTATTATTTGTCCTCCATTATATCCTTCAGGAAGAAAGCGGTTTTGTTATTTATGAGAATATGATGTCATCCACGTATGAAGTGGGCATTGGACCTCGTGGATCAATTACGAGGGACAGTTCTTATGAGTGAGGAGGCTCATCTGTTTTTATGTTAAAGGTGGGGTAAGTGATTTCTGGTAGCCAATGTTGATATTTCAAATCACCAAAACAAACACGCCCCTACCCCAAAAGGGTCTCGCCCCTATTTTGATAGCTCCGCCCCACACATACTTGCGCAACCCAGGCAACAATTAGTTCTGTGAAACAAAGCAAAACCAATGTTACACCGTGTCTACACCGGACGCGAGCGACGCGGCGCGACAAAATACTACAGAACTTATTATAATCAGTGATGCTGTCTACACTGGATGTGGCACGACACGACAAATCCCCAACAGAAAACTGCTGCTGCGTTCTATTTATGACGTATTGACAAATTTCAAATGATTTTCAACGGTCGCTTTATCGCGTCCAGTGTAGACAGTGTTACTCGCCTATCGAGAAGAAACAAAGCAACCTTGGCGTCCAATCGCAGGCCTTCCGCTCCTCGAGTTCTCTCCAGCGGAAAGCTAATCCGATGTTTACGGGTTATGAAGGATACGGGTCCTACTTCTTGCCTTATCGTAAGCCTTCTTTTGTTCCGCAGACTTTTTCCTCTTTTGGTTTTTATCCGCCATCTCTTATCTTTCTGTTATAGCTCGGCTCAGCTAATGTCCATGCCGTGCACTGGGCGCTCTCTCCGCCACATCATGAGTAGACACGCCCCTTACTGCTGATTGGCTGATTGAAGTTTGTTTTGGTACTCAGCCCAACGTTTTTGAAAAAATACATACCCCACCTTTAAAGTTTTTGGTAACAATCAGTGGAAGGGGGCCCAGTATTTCCCGTCTTGTGTCTTGAAGGCTGAAGTTCCAGTGCAGGTATTCGGGATCAGCAGTTGAGGCTCTGGTGGTGGAGGTGAATACGGTTCCTCCTCCTCCCCCTGTCTCTCAGAACGGCCCGCTCAGAGTGGAGCTCAGGCTCGCCAATAGACAGTGCACTACTAAAGGATGCTCTGATGGTGAGCAGAATCCAGAAATTCAAATTTCACAACATAACCAATAAGAGTCATGTTTTGCAAATGTGGCTTACCTAGTCAACGGGAGTTTTATTTAATTCAAGCACATATTTTGCCAAGTCATCCTGAAATGTTCCTGGTCAAACAAGTACAAGGTCCCAAAAAATCTAGAAATATTAGTTTTTGACTGTTCTCCAGGACCCAAAACATTACAGAAATTTGTTAAAATACAAGGACACGGTACAAAAGTAATGGTAATTTCTTAATACAGGTTAAATGAAGTTGCTTTGTTTTTGAAAAGTCTTTTATGCACACCAAGGCTGCATTCATTTCATCAAAAAATACAGCAGAAACAGTCATATTGGGAAATATTATTACAATTAAAATAACTTATTTCTGTTTTAATGTATTAAAATGTAATTTATTCCTATGATGGCATCATTACTCCAGTCTTCAGTGTCACATGATCCTTCAGAAATCATTCTAATATGCTGATTTGTTGCTCAGGAAACATTTCTTCTTCTTATTATTAATATTGAAATATGGGTACTGTAAAATTACCTTGAATACCACTAATATGGAATTCATTCATTACCAGGTCGATGACTATCACTGTACAACGGGATGCAGTTCATTAATTCAATATTCTCTTTGTGTATTTAAGAGGATATGTACACCTCGTACTACTCGGAGGCAGACTACCCTGTTACTAAAGTGTTGAGAGAACCTGTGTATGTGGAGGTGCGGATTCTGGAGAGGACTGATCCAAACCTTATCCTGGTCCTAGACCACTGCTGGGCCACTTCTAATCCTGAACCCATGAGTCTGCCTCAGTGGGACCTTTTGCTAAATGGGTAAACCTGAATTCTTTCATAGCAACTCCTCTTCCCCAATTTATCTAAATAAGTTTAAGGGAATGTGGGCATTTTGTTCAATTCCAAAACAACAGCCTCAAATTATGCAAATCACTGGTTTTCTTATTACTCTTCATAGCTGTCCATATAAGGTTGACCATCACCTGACCACAATGCTTGCTGTTGGACACTCAGGACTGCAGTACCCATCTCATTACAAACGCTTTGTTGTGAAGATGTTCACTTTTGTAGATCAGTCCTCGCTTGTGCCTCTGCAGAAAAGGGTATGTACTGTCTTGCCCACCACATTTCTCCTTCGCTCACACTTATTTACCTCTGCCATGTCTTTACCAGATTTTTATTCACTGCACTACGTCTGTTTGCCACCCCTCCACCACTGAGTCATGTGAGCCCAGCTGTGGCAGCAGGACAAGTGAGTACACCTATTGATTCAAGATATTAATAATAATTATTATTATAATATTATTTAATGCACATTTTCAATAATTACAATAATTGAATGATAATAAGAATTATTATTATTATTAACAAATATGTATTATCATTATTATCATGATATTTATTCATACATATTGGTTGTCGTTTATTATTAATTAATCATAATAATAATAATAATACAAAATAACAAATGTAATCAAATTAATTACAATAATTTAACATTTAATAATAAATATTAATCATGATCAAAAACAACATTATTAACTGTTAAATTATTAATTGAAAACAATTAAAATAATGTAACATTTAACAGTATAATAATAGTAATAATAATAATATTATTATTATTATTGATTATGACATTATTTAATAAACATTTATTTATTTTTTTTTTTTCCTGTCATTTAGGAAGGTCCATTTCAGAAGACTTGAAGGATTCGGAGGAAACAGTTGTAGTTTCGAGTGGGGAGGTCATACTTCTATCCCATTTGCCGGTTTCTGAGGCAAATCTTGCTGATAAGGAAGGTATGAACTCGCTGTGTTATTTGTTAACATTCATATAGTGAATGACCCATGCAACTATCTTCGACCTGGAAATGTTTGCCTCTTCTAGTCCCGCAGATATTGGATTATGGATTATGGGTGGCAGGAGCTCTCACTGTATTTGGTGTCTGTGGGCTTGTGGTGGCTGTTTTAATACAGCGGGCCAAACCTCGCCCTCAGCCCGCTCCAGTGTGACGTTAATAAAATGACAAAAAAATGTGGCCTCTTGAGCGATTTCTGCTTTTGGATATTCCATTTCCATCGACATAAACTCTACAGAGGGAAAAAACATGCATGTAATATTAATGCAAGTTTAATTTCTAACTTTAAGATGTTTTCAGAATGAATACTGTATGTTATGTACCTACAACTTTTTTTTTTTTTTTTACAAAATGTGCAATATACACGGTCCACTACCGTTCAAACCATTGGATAAGATGTTGGTACGTGAGCAGAAGACTGCTCTCTGAGCTTTAACATCCTGTAGCATTTACCTTCTGTGTGGTCGATTTCTGGACTTGTTGACATCAGAACCCAGGCCACCCCGACCAGCAAAGTGACCACCAGGTTTACTATGATCCAGGGGTGAAGGACGCTGCGCTCTGAGCCCGGCTGCCTATGAGGAGACACAACAACCGCTCGGCTCTTATTACTGTACAGTATTTACCCAGCATGCTCTAATGAGAGGGCTCTTACCAGAGTGTCACATTATAGCTGGAGTACTGATTATAGAGATTGATGCGATCACTCGTCATCTGCTGGCTTAATGATAAAACAAGGGCAGAAAAGTACACTGAAAAAGAAAAGGTGTATATTAAAACATTGCTGTTTTCATATTTGGCTTCTGTAATCCATTTTTTTTTTTAAAGAAACGTGATAAACTCACAGGGCGAGGCAAGTGCCACAGGACGGAGAGTCACTAAACTCCTCATGGCTATAGCAGCTTTGGCAAGATTCAACCTGTTAGGAGAGGGAACAAACACTAGTTTCATCTCAAGGGTTCAGGCATCTACAAATACTTGTGGCTACTGTTTACTCTACTTTTGTTTCTATTAGTCCAAGTGAATGGGCATTATGGTTTGGCGATTCACCTGTCGAAGGCAGAAACAGTGCTGAGGGCCAGCAGCAGGTAGAGTAGGGACTGTGCGGGGTAGGCCAGGGTGTGATATTGCTGCAGTAGGTTGGAAAGAGTGCTCATCTGTTCCCCAGCCAGAACATAGACCACAATGATATTCCACACAGCATAACCAGCCAGGAAGCCATGAGAAAACAGGCCAATCACCCTGTGCAGTAACAACAGTCAGGGTTTAGAAAAAAGTCTTTCCAGATTTACACTAGCATTTGGATGTCAGTGTGATTATTTTTGAAAGAAAAATGAATTATTTTACTCCGCAAGGACGCATTGATCAAAGGTGACGGTAAAGACATTTAGAATGTTACAAAAACATTTTATTTAAAAAACAAAGTTCTGTTTTTGTGAAATCTGTTCAACAAAGAATCCTGAAAAAAAAAAAAAAAGTCTCACAATTTCAACAAAAATAGTAAGCAGCACAACCGTTTTCAACTGATAATAATACTTCCTTGAGCACCAAATCAGCATATTAGAATGATTTCTGAGGGATCATGTGACACTGGAGTAATGGCTGCTAAAAATTCAGCTTTGCCATAAGAATAAATTACATTTCAAGATATATTAAAATAGAAAACAGTTCTTTTAAATTGTAATAATTTACTTGTACTGTACCATATCAAATAAATGCAGCCTTGGTGAGCATAAGAAACTTGTTTCAAAAGCATTTTAAAAATCTCCAAACTTTTGAAGGGTAGTGTATTTACACCAACACAAAATCTTTTGTGTTAATTGGTATATAATATGTTCATAAATACTAACCGCTGACTATAAAACATTAACTTCTCCAACTATAACATCAGCATTTGAGGGAAATTCAATTAGGAAACAATTAGTAAGAAGCTTTTAAACTCTTCTTGATTTATGATCTTTTTAATCTTTTTTTCACCATAGCCTGCTTGTCTGACACAATCTAGCCTGTGGAGGCCGAATTATATGGGAAAATAAATTTAAAAACTAAAATATGTGACGTGGGTCTTGAATAGAAAGTCAGCCACTGAACAAGCACAACATCACAAATCTAAAGTTTGGCCTTTAAACTTTGTCTGAACCCTGATAGGTTCAGCTCCTTTAGACTAGAATAGGTCAGAATCTTATTAAAATGCATTATTTTGTATATAAATCTTTTTTTATGTATACTATGGAAGTAATGTAATTTATTTGTAAAGAAACCTTCCCTTGTTCCCACCCTGTTATGCCACATTCCATTATCATTATTCTCATTCATATTGATTTATTAAAAAAATCGGATCTCTCAACTTTTTCCAGTCAAGAAGGCACCTTATGTATAGAACGACCCATTTAAGTTGAAGTCGAAAGCAGTTTTGCAGATTTATTGGAAAATAAAGTGTCATTTAAAACCAGATGTTTAAAGCACACCTGAAGCCGCTGTGGACTCTCGAGGAGACCTCTCTAGTGGTCCACATTGAGCGGATGTCCATAAAACTCTGCTCCATCGGGCCACTGGCCTTCCACTGGTCCACTCGCTCAGCTACTTGAAAACGACCTGCCACCAAAGATACATGGTCACTCCACCTTCATTTCATGATGTAAAGAGCAACTTGCATACAAACAACTTCCCCTTAGAAATACTTAAAGGGGTCATTTGACATTGCTAAAAAGAACATTATGTTGTGTATTTGGTGTAATGAAATGCATTTATGCGGTTTAAGGTTCAAAAAACACATTATTTTCCACATAATGTACATTATTGTTGCTCTTCTATGCCCCGCCTTTCTGAAACGCGTCAATTTTTACAAAGCTCATCGGTCTGAAAAGCGAGGTGTACGCTGATTGGCCAGCTATCCAGTGCGTTGTGATTGGCCGAATACCTCAAGTGTCTGACGGAAATGTTACGCCCCTTAACATACTGTGATGCCGTGTCCCTCACGACGAGACAAAAACATTAAAACCCATTACAAACAAGGCATTTGTTGCATCCAGTGGGGACATAATTACTGATTATAATGACTTATACTGTCTTTTTACAGCATCAACAATACTACAGCGAGGATAAAAGTTACGCCTTCTTTCTTTGCTTGAACATTTGGGCGGTGTTATGCAAATCTTCCCAGATCGTGACGTAGGTATGTGGGGGCGTGTTAGAACGAGCCGTTTTAGGTAGGCGTGGTTGACTCTTAACTTTTATAAAGAATATCTCTTTGGATTTGAGACTTTAGTCTTTGCAACTTTACAGATCTTCTTTATGCACCAAGAGCTTGTAACACTCCAAAGAGAAAGGAAAACTTGAAATCGCATCATATGACCCCTTTAAATGTTTAGATGTCAAAAGTTGCAGTTTATGAACTAGCAAACAGTCTGCACAACATCTACACAATATCCTGCTTGAAACTTACGGCTTCTCTCCACAAACACCTTCCCCACAGGCTGACTCTGCCCTTGGGGAGCAGAGAACAAGGAATGCTGGGAGACAGGCTCCTGGGGGTCTATGATGATGTCATCATCCTCTATGTCCAGTTCATCGTTGGACTGTGTTTCTGTTACTTTAGGTTTCACTCTGGAGAAAGAAAGAAATAGAAAGTGTTAGTTGAATGAATTAAATTCAATAGAGCTTTCATATAAAAGTTACATAACCAGTTTAAGGTAAAAAAAAAAAAAACTTCCTCTTTTTTGGTCTCGTCACCTCTTCGTCGACATTCTGATCCACCATATCTCCGTTTGACACCAGGTCTCTCTGATTTCCCTCCACATCTGGCCAATAGGAGCAAATCAGCATTATTTCTGGGGTGTCTATGTTAATGAAACCCCACCTCTACAGATATCAGATGAGTCGAAGTGAACAGGACATGCTATTGAATACTGTTTCTATCAATTGCTTGTGCTTTCTTCTTCTTTTTCCTCCTTTGTGGCGGATTGTCCATGGGTTCTGGGGTCAAAGGTTCCTGACATTCGGATTGTCTGCGACTGGTAAGCCCTCCCATTTCCATTCCACCATCTACAAAGGTCAAGGGTGAAACAAACTCATCACATGCACACCATGCTTCTACAGGTGATACCAAGCAGTCAAGTTTGGCTGGTTGCAAGGTGTTAATATTTCTTATTTATTGGGCTTCACTTTTGACTGCCCTTTTGTTATGTGCCCATCACGGACACACCTAGACAAAACAAGAACTAGACCTTGGGCACACTGGTACACCCGCACGAAAAACAGGTAAGCACACACACGCACACTTCTTGAGTACTTTGACTGGACGTCCAGGACATTGTGTATGTTGCTGTATGAATCTGTGGTATAAATATGACCCATCGTCCTTAATAAACTTGAGAATGTAATGGTAGTACACTGGCTCTTTGTGTCTGCTTGATCATTCTCCCAGGGATCCCGCGCTGCGGCTGCTCTACACCACATGGGTTGACACACCAGTTCACAGTTGATGCCTGATAGCATCGAAACTACAAATAGTGTAAAATTAGATCTACTGTAACACAAAGCCTGCTGAAAGATGTTGTCACTATAACATCTGGTTCCAAAAAAGCATCTTTCTCCATCTCTCTCTCTTTTGACAGCCATTCAAAGTAGCCATGTATTTTTGCAAAATGTGTACATAATTCCAACACAGACTGGAAAAGTACGGCAACACAATTTTAATTTGCACTACACTACTTTAAACCACTTAAAGACCCAATAGCTTAGATTTTAAAAGTACTTTTGTGACAACATGCCAAAATGAATAGCAGTTTAAAGACAAAAATAAAATAAAGTTAAATATATTTGTAATAATTATGAATTATGAAATATATGATGATTACATATATATTTATAACAAATATTATAATTGTTCATAAACACATTTGTTGTTTTGAATTGTTTCCCAACAGTTATAGCAAAAATTACAAAAATGTGGTTTGGAGGATATGACAAAAGCATCCTAATTTGATAGTTTTAAAACTGTGTTTGAAAAATATATAGTTAACTAAAACTAAAACCATAAAAAAAGAGTTTAATTTGAAGTACTAAAATAATAAAACTAAATGAACAAAAATTTATAAATAAAAAAATTTAAATGACAAAAACAAACAAAAATACCCCCAATAAAATTACTAAAATGATAAGTAAGATTGTTATTTAAATAAAATCTAATTTATAATATTAAAAAATATAACAATGTTATATAATATTATCAAATATTAATACTAGCATTCTCTATTTTTTTTTATTCTATCTTGTTTTCTTTTTATTCTTTTGAATTGTTTTATTTTTTATTTTTTTAAAGACCCTCTAACACTAACGTTCCCTATTCTATCTACTTGTTTTTCTTTTTATTTATTATAAAAAAAAACTTGCTATGTGTAGCCTACTGCATTAGGCTAACCGAAACTTGTCACAGCACTTACATATTATTGCCCTTTTGTTGGTTTTGATTGCTTCTGTTGTCCTCATTTGTGAGTCGTTTTAGATAAAAGCGTCTGCTAAATCAGTGGTTCCCAAAGTGGGTGCCGTGACAACTGGCTAGGGGTGCCGCAGAATCTTAGCTTTTTTTCCTATTTAAATAACCTAAAATAAACCTTTTACAGCATATATTTTAAAAATAGGCTATATCAAAACACCAACATATGAGCATGTCCAAACGAAAATAAATCGTGAAAAATAAAATGGAAAAACCACTGATATATTTCATACTTATTTAAAGTTTGAATATTTACCGCCAATTGGACTGTCCTCAGGAGAGAATTGTCCCGTCCGCTCCGCCCTTTGTACTGGTGCGCGCTCAATTTTATATTTCACGCAGTGATTGACAGGACTCGAAATTCGTGTTGCTGCTAATAGAAGGTGTTGACCGTTTAACCGGTGTGAAGCCGCAACACCGGTTATGTCGCTTGCCCACCGTCGTTTTGATTTTTTATAGTAATAAAAATCATTTAGTTTACTCAAATTAAAACTGAACGCGGCTGCTCAATGCAGCGTGCCGAATGACAGTCGCATCACAGATCAGATTTCATTTATCATGTGAGGAGAAGCTGACAAAGAAGAGTGAAGTGAGACAGACAAGACGATGGCAGAAGAGTTTCAAAACGACTTGCAAAATTCGAATTGAATTCAAGCAACTGACGCCGAATTGCTGCTAATTTGAAAGTGAAAGTAAAATGCGCACGGCGCTTTTAAGTTATTTAAAAGCAAAGGAAAGTAAGGAAAAGAGGGAAAACTCAAACAAACTAAAAACAAACAACTGCTTGACGCCGAATAGATGCTAATTTGAAAGTGAAAGTAAAATTGTACAAGCTTTTAAAAAACAGAAGGAAAGCGAGGAAAAGAGGGAAAACTATCGTCGCTCCCCTATCAACTGGCTGTCATTCAATCCCTCAGTGGGATTGTCAAAGTCACATTAAGAATATTGCATATCTGTGCAAGCAGGGCGCTCTCTCCCTTCCTCTCTCACACTCTACCATCACTACATCAGCTATCAAAGCTGGAGAAGAAATAAAAATAAGGGATTTGTAATCCCTCTCTCTTGACTGGAGGAAGGAAAAGACGGATTTATATGAGTTTGTTCGCTTTCCTTTCCTCTCTCAGTATGTCTTTCTGTGGCGGGATAGATAGTGAGGGGAGATGAGGCTTCTAAACCCCCCTGAGGCTAGTGACAGAACAGAGTTGCTGAGCATCTCACCGCAGGAGGACGGCAATAACAGGACACGGGCTACAAAAAGAGCCTCTTTGGTGCTTAAAGGCTATAATGAAAGACACTTGCTCTTCTTTAGGAACAAAAAAGCTTCATAAATATTCTGGGTAAACACCATTGATGGGTACAACTCAGAAATGACAGCTATGATAAAACATGAAAGCACATTAATGGTGTGACTTGATTTTGAACTTGAAAACATTTCACACTAATCTAAGTCCATATGAAGTCCATTCATATCCAATGAAGCCTCGCTTTTAATTTTGTGATTTGTTGCAGCGGGTTAGACCTTGATTGAGATGCATTTTGAAAAGTAAAAAAAAAGAACAATACTTCATGGAACAACTGATTCAAATAAGCACAAACAGAACTCAATTGATCATCATAACATTTCTTGCAACGCTTCAATATCAGTCATTTCAGCATGCATGCACTTTCAACCTGTTAGGTCCGCCTTCACAAACCTCGCAGTGAACAGTTTCTGCATTGACAATGAAATCATGGGATCTGTGTATCTGTTGCTTAGTTTTGCTTTAAAATCCATAACTGCTCTGATGCCCTTTGCATGCAAATCACCTGCGCAGTAACCTCAATTGAGGAAGAAACAGATTTGACATTGCACTCTGCCTCCAATCGATACCGCTGCCATATGGACATGGGAAGGGAGCTATGTCGAAACGTGACCCGGGACAGAGGGAGGTTAGCATGGATCTCAATGTCTGGCCTGAACCTCCAGGCAAGCCTATGGAGCCGAGCAGAGCTCTCGCAGTGCAAACATTCTGATATATATCAAAGACAGCAAAGTAATTAAAAGAGAAATCAAACTTATAATGAGCCAACAGGAACTGCTGAATCATTTAGTGTGTGTGATTTTGTGTGTGTTTGGGAGTGATAGAGGCAAAACATCTTGTCATGAGAAAAAAATGAGAATCAGTATTCAAACGGGAGTTCAATCTATAACAAGCCTCGTGTTGTGTGCCAGTCTTTTGATAATTAATTGTAAAAGAACTGCTCGATTTGCATTCAGCTTTCATCAAATAATTTGATTGAAAAGAACTTTGCACTGCTGGGGATTCGCCTGAGAGCGAAAAATTCAGGGCCTGACACGGCCGAATTATAAATGTCGCTGTCATTTCTCTCCTCTCATTCGGGTGAGGAATAAATTATGGGTCTTTCGAAGGTTTGTGGCAGCATTAAATTAACTCCCTTTACATGTGGAAGACAGGAAAAAAAAGTGATATGGTTGACATAACATGCCTTCTGAGGCCAGAAACATTGATGCATTTCCAGCAGAAATACTTGCAACGTTACATTACAATATCTTATAATTGATCTTCTGACATGACAATTGACCCGAAAAGAAAACTAAGTATAGCAGACAACCATAAGAGCAAATAGTCAACTATAGGGATACGCCAATACCGGCCAGAATTATCGCCCGCTAACCGATAAATGGCTGATATTAAAATTCAACAGTATTATTATTATTATTATAAAACTAAAAAAATTGTTTAGAATGGCACAAGTACAGTGTTAAATGTAATATATAGCAAATCTCAAAATGAATAGTGATTTTTTGTAGTGTTATAAATTTTTTTTACAGATTAACATTATATATATTATACTTGTATATATAATTAACATAACATAACATTATATATATATATATATAT